AGCGGCCGCTGGCGCTCGGTGCCGGGTGGAGCCCGAGGCCGCGCTCCCCTCCGGACGGGCCCTGAGCCACGTGGACCTGGCCGTGCAGGGAGCACTCAGGTCAGAGGGAGGCGGCCACGGAGCCGCTCCTTCCCTAGCGAGATCGAGTCCTCCACGAATGACCTTCTTAACCTGTGGGCCCTGTGTGTGGACATGAAGTGACAGGCAATGGCTCCTGGTTTTTCGGCCACCCACCCCCACCCCTTCCTGCACAGGGAGCCTGGGCGCCTGGCAAGCAGACCCACTCGGCAGCAGCAGGCACACGAGCTTCTCGAGCCTCCTCCCGCCCGCGGGGAGCACTCTGATCCCCCCAGCACCCGTCAGGGCCGGTGGTCACCGTGGCGGTTAGAGAGCGTGGTGGGCAGCACCACCCATCAGGCCACTGGGCCTCCACGGCCTTGCTGGGGCCCAAACCCCTCCCGTGCTCACCTGCCCAGCCCGGGCGACCCTCTGGCTGGCCGTCTGCCGCCCGCTGAGGCGGCGCTGGTCCGCCCATTGGGAAGGTCCGCCCCCTCCCAGGTTAGGCCCGGCCACCCACACCCACCAGCGTCTCTCCTGTGCCGCCCAGATCCACGCGGGGCCAGCGGGGCCCATGAAGCCGCCGTGCAGACAGGACCCTGCTCCCGAGGAAGCAGCCGACCCTCATGCCCGCAGCATCAGGGCGGCCGTCATCGCCGCAGACACGCTGGGCGCCGGCCAGAGCGTGTCCGGGTTCCAGGACACGCCAGCAGGGGCCCGCCTCTTCTTCCCCACAAGGCCCACTCCACAGCCACACAGGCCTCGGCCAGCCACCTCCTAACCGTCCGCCCGCTCAGTGCCCCCACGGCCCCGGCCTGTGTCCCTACAGGGCGCGGACGTTCCTGAGGTGCGGCACGGTGAGCTGCCGCCGTCATGCGAGCGACCCTGTCCCACGACAGACCACAGCAGGTCACGCTGCATCGCACTCACCGTGTCACACAGCAGCACTGGACATCCATGTCACATAGGAACACACTACGACATCACAGCCCTACACTGCCCACTGACCTCACCCTGCTCCCCACAGGCCACCCTGCACCACCACGCGGTCTGCCACCCGCACCTCCAGCCGGGGTGAGCCGCCCCAGCACCCGACCTCAGAGCCCACAGACCTGCAGGGGGCTGGGGGGATTCCTCGCCGATAGGTCTGCACCTTCTGCTCCCGGTTCTGAGGGAGCATGCGGCTCAAGGAGGATGCCGTCCAGCCCCACAGTCTGTGCGGGAGCCGAGCTCGGACCTCACATCACCATTGCCACCCGAACCTCAAGCCCCGGCAGCCAGGACCCAGGTCAGCCTGGCCACTCTCCCGGTCCAGCTTCTGGGCCGGCCTGGATTCTGTCCCCGGGGGTTCCGATGCTGCCAGGAGCACACACCCTCGCCCCACCCCCACCCCCCAGGGCCCTTCCTGAGGACCAGGAGGAGGGCGGCCACAGCGCCCACCCCCGTGCGCTGACGCCGCCTCCCGACTCTCACCTTCATAAACAGTCGCGCTCCTCAGGGCAGCGCCTGGCACCCAACTCGCCTCTGAGGGCTCCGCGCACCTGGCGGGACAGGAGGGTCTGCCCACACGCAGCCACGCGGGCCCGCCCCCAAGCCTGTCCGTCCGTGCAGAGCTCAGGCCGGCTGGCCGAGCGGCAGGCGCTGGTCAGCATCGCCCTCTGAGGCCACGGCCAGGCGTCCCCGCGTCTAGCACCACTGCCCTCCCGGCACCTGTCCTGCCTCCACGCCTCAGCTCTCAGAGGCTGTGATCTCCGTGTGTCTCCCGCTCCTGGTTCGAGCGTTCCTCCCTGTGCCCCCGACAGCCCGGGGGGCCCCGCAGGCCAGCGGAGCTTGGGGGTCCCTGGCCTGGGAACCTACCGGGCGGCTATGGCACCATCCCTGCAATGGGGACCACAGATGCCAATCCTGAGCAGCAGCAGCCGGCACCTCTGGCAAAGCCACCGGACGCCAGACCCCCACTGAGGCCGGCCCCAGCCCGAGCCCGAGCCCCCGAGGCGCCCTGCAGCCCGGCCCACGGGCTCGGTCTCACGCCGAGGAAGAGACGCAGGGCTCCTTCCAGAATGTCCCCGGCTGACTCCTCAGAGAAGAGCAGGATCCTCAGGCTTGCCCTTCCAGGCGAGTCCGTGCCTCCTTCCCTCCTCCCCTCCTTCCCCCGGCTCCCGGCAGGTGTCTGAGCCTGGGTGAACTGGGTGAACTGGGTACAGGGGACTTCGGTGAGCACTTCCAGAGCAGCCTCGGGATTCCCACCAAGTCACCTCTCCTCGTTCAGAACAGTGGGCCCCCGACGGTCCAGGAAAGGGCAGTCCTCAGCCGGCTGGCGGCTGCCGGTCCGCGGTGGGAATAGAGGGTGTGGTCACGGCTGGGGTGGGGAAGGAGCGGCTGCAGTGAGGGCCTGGCTCCCACCACAGGCCCGGCCCCTGGGCCACACGGCCATACAGCACCGGCTCTCCAGTATAGTAAGGGTCAAGCCAAGGGCATCCACTTGTGGATACTGAGGACGTGGCCGATAAGACTGGAATGCCAGCGTCCTGCCCCGGGGCGGCCTTGTTGAGGAAGCTCCTCGCTGACCTCGGGCACCGTGTCCACGTCTCCAGCCGGCGGGGCAGTCCCTCGGGGCCCGGGGTGTTTGTCTCCTCGGGCCCGCACGGCGCCGTTCGGCAGGAGCTACGAGAGGGGCCGGGCTCGGCCTGCTGCTTGTTGGGGCCACAGCGCGACGGCGAGCTGGGCGGCGTCCAAGGACGCGCCCCCTCTGGGCCGCTCCCCCTCTCGGGCGGCACAGGGCAACGGGCCGCGCCCACTCCCGCGGCCGGGCTCGGCCTGAACGCCGGGCGCCAGTCCTGCTCTGGGCTCGCATGCAACACGTGTCTTTAAAGCATTCCCTGCCCAGCTGCCATGGCTCCGTGCTTGCTCATCAACCTCTGAACCTGGAGGTCACGGTTCCAGTCCCGGTCAGGACACAGGCCTGGGCTGTGGACTCGATTCCTAGTGTGGGGTGTGCAGGAGGCGGCCGATCAGAGGCTCTCTCGTCATGGATGTTTCTCTCTTCCCCTCTCCCTTTCTTTCTCAGATCAACAAAAACATGTTTAAAAAAAATACAGCAGCCCCGGATGGAGAGCAGACCCCTCACTGAAAGCTCACAGGCCACGTCACGCCAGCCACGCCAGCCACGCCGGCCGAGGGAGGTGCCAGGGGCCCTCCCGCCGCCAAAGGAAAGAAGGGCGGTGCTGGGCGGCTGGATTTGAGATCAGTGGACATGTCTTCGGTGAGGATTTAAAAACACACGCCATTCGTGTTTGTCCATTCGCAACCCAATTCCACGCGTGTCCCCCGGTGGGAGCACCCCGTGTGTTTCCGCCGAGCTGGCTTAGATGTGCTCCGTGACCGGCGCAGCCCAGGATCCCGATCGTCACGCGGGCGCTGGGCCAGGAGCACAGCCCACAGCCATGAGGCGGAGCGAGGAACAGTCCACGCCCACACGCACTCCGCTGCTATGGGAGCTCACGGAGGCCCGCGGGGACCAAACGCGACCCAGAGGAAGTGGGTGTGGCTCTGAGAGCGCAGACCTGTCCGGCTCCCGGGGGCTGTCAACCTGGCATGGATCCTGCCTTAACTGGAAGCACGTGGCCCCCCAAATCACCACTAACAGCAGACGACGGCACCGCGGTAGCAGAGTTCCTAGCAGTGAAGTCCAGCGGCAGCCAGGACAGGGCAGAGCAGCAGCTCCCCTCCCGGCGGGCGCGGACACCACCATGTTCCCTGAGCTCCTGGGGCACCGCCTGAAGCCTCCCCAAGGAGAGCCACGTCCCAAATCTCTAAATCAACTGGAATTCTTGCCACATCTTACACTGGAAGGAAAGATGTAAATCTCATAAAAATAGTTCCTGCGTCTCACAATAATGGCATTGGCTGAAGCAGAGCATCAGGCCTGCTGAGTCTGGGCCGCACTCTGTGGGCTGAGCAGGAGCCGGGGGCCTGGCTGAGCCGGGGACGGGGCCTGGCTGAGCCGGGGACGGGGCCTGGCTGAGCCAGAGTCAGGGGCCTGGCTGAGCCGGGGGAAGGGGCCTGGCTGAGCCGGGGACAGGGGCCTGGCTGAGCCGGGGAAGGGGCCTGGCTGAGCCGGGGAAGGGGCCTGGCTGAGCCAGAGCCAGGGGCCTGGCTGAGCCGGGGAAGGGGCCTGGCTGAGCCGGGGACGGGGGCGTGGCTGAGCCAGGGACGGGGGCCTGGCTGAGCCGGGAACAGGGGTCTGGTTGAGCCGGAGCCGGGGGCCTGGCTGAGCCGGGGACGGGGGCCTGGCTGAACTGGGGTCAGGGGCCTGGCTGAGCTGGGGTCAGGGGCCTGGCTGAGCCAGGGACGGGGCCTGGCTGAGCCGGGGACGGGGGCAGTGGTGGTTCCTGTTTCTCACAAGGCAGAGGACCCACCACACAGCACAGCTCTCAGTAAGTAAAACCAGGACCTGTGCTGGGGCATGCAACCCGCCCCCCAGCTCCCCCGCCATGATCAATGTGTCACGTAGCTGCGGGCACTCAGCAACTCCCAGGTGTGAGGGGGACCCACAGCGGGCCTCACTGCGAAGCTATGGCCGCTGCTGTCTCCGCGGGCGATGCCTGGACCTGAGGCACAGCAGGTCCCTGGTGTGAAATGCGAAGCCACACCCACGCCCCACAGGGTGGTCCCCTCCACACCCCACACCTGTGCCCCCACCCTGCACCCCTCTCCCAAACCCTCCTGCACCAGTGCCTGCCCCACACCCACCCTCTCCTTCCCCTCCCCCTCCCCCCGGCCCCGCTACCTGGAGCTGCGGCGCCTCCACCCGCAGTCACTGAGCTGACCCGCTATGGCCTCCCTGTCTCCCCACCAGCACAGGCTGCCAGGGAGGCTGCCTGCCTCCGGGCCTGGCGCCTGCATGTGTGTGCACACGTGTAGCTGTGTTGAAAGAACCTTACCTGCTGTCTTGGCCACATCTGCAGGCGTCACGTTCTGGACGTTGGCGCTCACTCTGAAGGTCACGGCCGGTCCCAGGACCCTGGGAGAGACCATGCAGAAAGGGTCAGTGCGGCTCAGCGCACAGCGTGTCCTCTGAGAGCGCGGGGCTGCGGGGCATGCTCAGAGACACGCACCAGCGCCACCGCTCCCACGGGTGACCTCACCGGCCTCCGTGTCCTATACGTGTGCCAGGGCCACCACTCAGTGAGCGTGTTCTTGGCACGCTCCCTCTTTGTGTCCATTTCCCAGTGAGGCCACTGACAGGCTCTGCTTGTCTGAGCCGCGCGGGGCTCTGGGAAAAGCGCTGCCCACGTGCAGGCCCGGACCCTGTGGGGAAAGCTGTTGTGGAAACAGACTTGGTGTCTGTTCCCAAGGGAGCGGGTGCGCCGAAGGCGGGAAGGAGAAGGAGTCGTTAAAAGCCTCTCTGACAGCAACTGTTCAAAAACCGAGCAAACGTGAAGAAACATTCAGTACAAACAACTGGCAGGGAATTTGCAGACAAGAATTACCCAAAGCTTTTCAACACTATATTGAACATGATTTTGAAAAAAGCATCATTTTTTTAAATTCTTTTTTTTAATATATTTTATTGATTTTTTACAGAGAGGAGGAGAGAGGGATAGAGAGCTAGAAACGTCGATGAGAGAGAAACATCGACCAGCTGCCTCTTGCACACCCCCTACCGGGGATGTGCCCGCAACCAATGTACATGCCGGAATCGAACTGGAATCGAACCTGGGACCTTTCAGTCCACAGATCGACGCTCTACCACTGAGCCAAACCGGTTTTGGCCATCACTTTTTTTTTTTTTTTTTTTTAAACAATTTGACTCCTATGAGGCCTCGTGCACGTTAGGAACATGGGGACATGCAGCCATCTCAGCGGGGGAAGACTGCAGGCCGGTCTCAGAGGCGTAGCTCTCAGAGGCGACGGTCCCAGGCCCCAGGCGTAGCTCCTCACAGAGTGACTCAGCCCCCCTCAGGAGAGCCCTGGGCGCTAACGGTGCCAACACGGGAAGGACCCTCCCTCCCAGAGCCGGCTCCCTCCTGTGCTCCCGAACTCTGCCCACGGCCCCACCCAATCATCCCTCTCGGCCAAACGTACAGAGAAGTCAGTCCCTTCATTTTTCTTGAAAGATCAGCTAGAATGCCAAGAAGGGACTGCACTGAAAAATCAGAAACGAGTAAGAGTGGCAGGGAGGTGGGGAGGGGGAAGGGAGGAAGGAGAGGGCTGGGAAGAGGAGGGGAAGCTGCCACAGTCCCTGCAGGGCCCACAGTCTGGCACCTTCTACCCAGCCACCCCACTGTGTTCCTCTGCATTCTACTGCTGGTTGCATTGTAATGATAAAACCATTTTAAAAGGCATTAATAGTAAGAATGGTGCAAAGAAGAGTAATAAGAGTGAGAATCCACTGATTAATCCACAAGCTCAAGAGACTTTACATAAAATTAGAACTGTCTCAGAAATGCACAGAATTCCTACAGGATGATGACTTCGCTATCTCCCTGTCCCATCCCCCTCCGGCCTTCCTCCCCAGGCCCCGCCTTCCTCCCCAGGCCCCTCCTGACCATGGATGAGCCTACTGCTGCCGGTGCTGTGACCTCAGACCCCACGTGTCCTGTGCACCTCGCGAGTCCCTGTGGATGCAGGGGTCACCTCATTCATAACTCTGGGTCTTGGCCTCGTCCTGCTGCTCATGGGAGCTCCGCTCGGCCCGGCCCCAGCCCTCTGAGCACACCCATGAGTGGGAGGCAGTGCGTCACCACCCCCACCATCACCCGATTCTACAAGCCTCGCTCACCTCCCGGCCAGCTTGACCCCTCGAATCGGCACCTGCCACTGTGCCCCAGTGTGGGCGCCCTTCGCTTCGTTGTGCAGGCATCCTCGGCTGCTGGTGGCTGGCTCCAGCCAGCTGTGTGCCGGCACAGACCCCGCCATCCTGCTCCCACTACGGAGCCAGAGGCACATCCGGAACCCCCGCAGCCTGGCCTCCGGCGGCCTGCACTGCATGTCAGGTGAAGTGACCCAGCCAGGCCCAGCCCTCCATCCTGCCAAGCTCTCCCCCTCGGAGGTCGCTTCTGTCCTGGTGCAATGACTTCCTCCTGTAGCCCGCCACAAGTCCGCTCCTGCGGTGACAACCCTTCCCGCCCCACCACGCAGCCTGCCTCCCCGCAGCTCTGGCCCCCAGGGGCCTCTCCAGACCTGTGCTGAGTGCGTGGCGGGGGGGGAGGGCAGGTCGCAGGGAGTCACTGTGGGCTCTGGGCAGCGCCTTCACCCAGGGCTTCCGGCCAGGCGCAGCCACAGCAGCTCTGGGGACCCTCCCAGCCTGGGGACCCCAGGGCTCCCTGTGGTTCTGGGCACTTCCGCCCACACTCCCTCCGCCTACAGCTCTCAGCCCAGTGCTCTCTGACACACATGCCCACTCGCTCACCGAGGGCCAGAGGCCTGCCGTCCGCCTGCCACCCATGTGGGCCCGGCAGACAGATGGACACACACCGCGCCTTGTCTCGGGGCGTCCACGTCACTGCTGTGCCCCTCGGAGAAGCACGTGGCACCTGGGATAGGGGAAGCCGACCCTGGTGTCAGCTTGATTGTCATCGAGCCTCAGTGACACCCACATGGGGGCGCTCCAGGCCCTGGGGCGCTCCATTTCGATCGCATGCCTTTTCTCAGGTTCAAGAGGGGTCAGCACAGCCTCACATCACGTGACCCAGACACCCTGCCTCCCAACCCCTGTTGCTCCGGTGTCCACAATGCAAAGCCTCTACAAGAGGTCTCAGCTGCCAGTCTGCACATTGTCACTACGCGGGCCTCAGTTTACTCAGCTGTAAAATGGGGTGGTGTGTCCTGGCCCTGAAGCCTGGCTCTCCCGTGACGAGTCACTGTGTGACGCTGCCAGCGCCAGGCAGAGTCCCAGGCGAGAGGAAGAAAGGGCAGGGTGCAGAGGCCATGGACCGCACCCAAGAAAGGTCCCAAGTATCCCCACCACAGGGTCCACGGGAGGCGGCCCACGGGTAAACACACACGTGAGCCACAGTCCTGAAGTGCCAGACCGCCCCGTGAGGCGCAGACTGAACGGCTGGCCCTCTGCAGGGGAGCCCCGAGGGCAGCGCTGGCCCCGGGCACGTGGGATTGGCCTTCCCCCGGGAGCTCATTCCAGGAAGTCTACTCGTCCTTTCATTGCAGTACCCGCGGTGCTTCTGAGCGAACCGAACCCGGTGGGGCCCCCTGGCCCATGTCAGGCCTGACTCTGCTTGTTATAGGTGGGGAAACTGAGGCTCGGGAAGGCTCGGTGACTCCGCTCCTCGGCGGCAATGCCATTTCACACCAGGAGAGAAGCTCAGCCAACACTTTCAACATTCATACCCCGAGCAAGCGAGGGGCGCTCAGAGCGAGCGTGGCATCCTCCGCTCAGGCAGAGCGACATGCGGGTGCCCCGGCCCTTCCTGCCGCCTCACCTTCCGTTTAGACAGGGGCGGCCTCAGACCCCCGCCTCCCGGGCAGTGCCAGCCAGGCCTCCCCACTCCTGCTCCAGGAGCACGGCCTGAGCATGTCACCGAGCATCCTCAGCCAGGCGGAGCCGGCCACGGAGCCCAGGCCTCGCGCACACAGGTGGGCACAGCACACCTGCAAGCCTCCTGTGGGCCCAGGGTTCGAGACGGAGGCTCTTAGCTGTGACCTTAGCATAATCTGCTGCTGCCAGGATAAGGCAGGGCCAGAGCTGGGAACCTCTGCGCGTCCTCAGGAGAGCAGGTGCTCCAGCGTTTTCCAGCCCTGACCCAGGGCGGACCAGCTGCCCCTCTGAGAACAGGAGGATGGGTCGTAGAAGGAGGCTGCCCGGCCCCAGGCAGATCCCACCGCCTTGAGCAGCCCCACAGCCCTGCCCACACCAGGCACCCACAGCAGCCGCATCCATCAGCGCGGACAGCGTGATTAGGTTATAAAGTCATAACTGCGGCCGTGGTGTGTCTGCTGCAAATTACATCAGCATGCTAATGCCTTTTTAATGGCCTCTGACGACGAAATGAGGAATAATGGGATTTACCTGACAGCTACACGGCCATTAACAAAGTGTAGGCATGACCAGGGCTCCCACAGAACCCAGACTCCCTCAGAGCTGCGGCCGCTCCTCCGCTGGGAACCGACTCCGCCAGGACAGCTCCTCCCGCCAGCCCCCGGCCAGCGGTCCCTGCCGGGCTGTCCAGGCGCCGCCGCCCTCAGGGCCCGGCCAGGTAATGCACAGGGCCACTTGCAGAACTCCGGAGGAGCCACGCTAAGCACACACCAGCATGCATGTACGCACAGGACACCATGTGCGCTCACACGGATGATAACAAAAGGCCCTGGTGCAGTGCAGACATGACCTGGCCACAACCAGGTCTCAGAGAAGTCTTTGGACCAAGAGCCCAGCTGTCAGCTCTGGGACAAGCCTGCCACCAGCCAGGAGACCCGAGTGTGTTCACAGGTTCTGAGACCACAGAGGGGCGGGGTGTCGGCATGGCTCCAGTCTCCCGAGCAGAGAGAGACGAGGGTGCTGTTCCCAAGCTCTGTCTGCCACTGAGCAGCCAGCAAGCTCAGCCCCTCCTGAGGGGCCCTCCCGCTCGGGCTCTGGGCATGGAGCCAGGAGCCAACCTGACACCGGGAAGGGGCAGGAGGACAGGGAGACAGGAGGGCCAGCCACTCTCCACCAAAATGCTCTGGCACCTAGCCCCTCTGGGCCAGCTCCCACCACCCGAAGCCCTTCCTCCCCTCTTCCCCCCTTGAAGCCCCTCCCAGAGCCCTGCCAGCTGAAGGTCCTGCACTTGACTGAGAGCTGTGAGAGGCTGAGGGGACATCTGGCTGGGACGGGGAGAAGGACCGGCATTGTGTGAGGTCACCTCACCCACCCTGCCCAGGAAGGAATGTGGGCAAGGCCGCAGGCAGCAGAGCCCGAGGGGCCAGATGGGAAGAGAACCCTGGTGTCAAGGCACCAAGCCCACCCCACCTTGAACTGGTCCCGTTCTCTCTGGGTGCCAGAAGCCAGTTCCAGCATGTCATAATTACAAGAGTCTCATCAAAAGGTTGATGGAACTTGGGGACTCAACAAGGGCTGAGTCACATATCTTATCCCTGTTGGAATGGCTAAAGGCATTTCCCCCAAACCTGAATAGAATGATTGTTTACTGTCAGACAGCTCAGGGCAAAGCAATCTATATCTTATTGCCTCCTATTGGCTAAATACCTGAATAGCCGTAAGCTATTCCCCAATCTGACAATGCTTCTGTAGGAAATCCTACCCTTTGAAGTGTATATCTCCACCTTTGTGTTAATAAAAAGCAAGGGTCCTGAGACAAAGAGAATTTATCTCCTTCAGCTGAAGCTCCTCTGACCCCCAATTCCTTTCAAATTTATCTTTCATCTCTGGACTCCTACTTAATCTATGCACAGCCTTTCTCCAGATTGCTGCACCCTTCTTAATGCTGGAACAAGAACCACGGCATCTGGAGAAGGAGGGACCTCCCGCCATCCTGCAGCACCAGTGCGGACACAGACAGAGCAGCAGGGTGTCTCCTGTCAAAGACCTGGGTGGGAGCCTGCCTCTGGCATGGTCTCTCTCGGGAGCAGTGTTCCCTCGGGGCCTGTGGGGTTGGTGCCCCCACTTCCTCAGCATATGCTGTGTCTCAGCTGTGCTCCGCCCACAGCCCCCAGTCCCCAGCCTGGCTGCCGGTCCCAGGCGGACAAAGGCCGGGGGAGAGCCACAGGGCTCATGGGGCTCCCACCCGACAGCCACTGGGGAGATCAGACAGAGGCCCATGCTTTGCCATGAGGGCAGGTGTTCCAGGTGCTTCTGTGAGGGCTGCTGGGCTCCTAACCAGCCCTGTTCACAGCCTCCTGAGCCTGTGGGCAGCCCTGTCCCAAGCAGACCTGGGACCTCCACCCCCGCTGGTCACATGAGACAGGCAGGGACAGCGGGGAGAGGAGGAGAGCAGAGATCTTGGTATGAGGTGGAGGATGCTGAGAGCAGAGAGGGCATGTCCCGGAATTTCTGGGCCACCTCTGGGGAAACAGAGGTTGTGCAGCCTCCCTCCCTTTGCTTCTGCCCGAAGGGGATCACACCGGAAGCACCTCTGTCTGCTGGGATAGCTGCTGTCCACCAGCCTGTTCTGCTGTGGAGAGGGAGCTGCAGGTGGGCCCTGCAGATTGAGACTCAGTTCTGCCCTGGCCCTCACCTGTGTCCCTGCGCCCATCTGCCACAGGCCCACTGCAGCCACCTCACACCAGACCCTCCGCCCCGTCTCACTGGATTCTTGCAAGCGCTCCACCTTATGCTCCTGTCCTGTCCGAGTCTTGTAGCTACTCTTCCTCATCACCAGCACACAGTCCGCCTTCTTTCCCTCGATCAGCACTCCTCACCTGCACAGCCCACCTGTGCACCAGGTGTGTGGGCCAGGTGTGTGTGCCAGGTGTGTGCACCAGGTGTGTGGGCCAGGTGTGTGGGCCAGGAGTGTGCACCAGGTATGTGGGCCAGGAGTGTGCACCAGGTGTGTGCACCCAGGTGTGTGTGCCAGGTGTGTGTGCCAGGTGTGTGCACCAGGTGTGTGGGCCAAGTGTGTGGGCCAGGGGTGTGGACCAGGTGTGTGCACCCAGGTGTGTGGGCCAGGTGTGTGTGCCCAGGTGTGTGGACAGGTGTGTGAACGAGGTGTGTGGGCCAGGTGTGTGGGTCAGGAGTGTGCACCAGGTATGTGGGCCAGGAGTGTGCACCAGGTGTGTGCACCCAGGTGTGTGGACCAGGTGTGTGCACCAGGTGTGTGGGCCAGGAGTGTGCACCAGGTATGTGGGCCAGAAGTGTGCACCAGGTATATGGACCAGGTGTGTGAGCCAGGTGTGTGTGCCCAGGTGTGTGAGCCAGGTATGTGGACCAGCTGTGTGCGCCCAGGTGTGTGGACCAGATGTGTGGGTCAGGAGTGTGGGCCAGGTGTGTGAACCAGGCGTGTGGGCCAGAAATGTGTGGACCAGGTGTGTGGGCCAGGTGTGTGCATCCAGGTGTGTGGACCAGGTGTTTGTGCCCAGGTGTGTGGGCCAGGTGTGTGGGCCAGGTGTGTGTGCCCTGATGAATGAGCACAGGCAGCTTGCCGGCTTACTGTGGCTCTGGGCCCAGCTGTGCGCTCTGCACTCAGAATGCTCACTGCGAGGTCCTGTTGCCCGGCACCGGGGGAGCACTGCCTGTCTGCTGCCTGTCCTCCGCTCTCCTCTTCCAGAAGCTTCTGGCCCCAGCCTGGGGAGATGCTTCTCCACCGCCCTTGCCCAGGCAGTGGCAGGTGTGCAGGGCGGTGCTGCCCCCGGCCCAGCGTAGCACAGGGCCAGGCCACAGCGGCACTCAGGAAACACCTGGCCACAGGGAGCCTGCGTGTCCGTGGCCCACAGTGAACTCTGTGTCATGTCCCAGCGGCGGGAGCTCAGCTCAGCGTCACCTCTAGTCCACAGCGGCGCCTGCACCGCTGCCATGAGCACTGCCCGTCCCCGCTCTCGGAGCTGGGCCGCTGCGGCACCTGCGCTGGAGACCCCATCATGCTGTCTTTACTCAGTGCTTGTCTGTCCTCAATGCTCCAGCCCGTGCCTCCTGCAGGCCGAGGTGCTGGCAGAGGATTCGCTGATGCGTGCCACCCTGAGGCTCCACCTCGCATGCAGGGGGAGGGGAGGGCAGAGGAGCGCTGGGAGTCTGGGGGGTCTAGGAGCCACAGGCTGGAGCCACGCCCGCTGGCCCGCTGCTGCCGGTTCTAACTCTTATACCCACACCCTTCACGCTCCTCTAATAACTCACAGCCCCGGGCTCCTCTTCCTGCTTCCTGAGGCAGCTTCTGCAGGAAGACTAACAGGGGCCACGGCACACAGGGCTCTCCCTCCAAACCAGCTCATGTGACAGAGCCCGAGAACCACGCCCGCACTCACTCGGTGTCTGCGAGGACGCCCGTGGGCACCTGGAGCAGGCCTGCGACATCCGCCAGCAGCTGCCTCCCCTTCTCCAGGCTCAGGGGGCTGTGGAGAGAGAGGGGCAGCGTCACACACAGACCTGACTGCGATCCCGGAGGAGCTGAGCCTCACAGCCCTGCCTCCTGTCCCAGGGAGCGGCCCCAGCCAGGCAGGGGCTCCAGCAGCCAGCCGAACAGTCCACGCGGGGCTGTGAGGGGCGTGAGGGCCTGGGCAGCAACGGGCTCATCAAGCCTCAATGCAAACAGGGTCCAGAGGAAAAGGGGGACGAGAGAGGGGACGGACCATGTTTTTAAAAAGCAGACACGTTTTTATTTCATTTATTTATTTTAATCTTTTAAATTTTCATTTTCTAAAATCTTTATTGTTGAAAGTTACATAGGTCCTCTTTTCCCCCATTAACTTCTTCAGCCCATTCTCGTCCCCCGCCCGCAGCACCCACTGTCTGTGTCCACGGGGGATGCACGCATGCACACAAGCTCACTGCAATCTCTTCCCGCCCACCCTGCTCCACCTTCCTTCTGAGGTTCAAGTTTGTCCCATGCTTCTGTGTCTCTGGATCTATTGTTGTTCATCAGTTTATTTTGTTACTTAGATTCCACATATGAGTGAGACCTGTGATACTTGTCTTTCTCTGACTGGCTTACTTAGCATAATGCTCTCCTGGTCCCTCCATGCTGTTGCAAATGGTAAGGGTTCCTTCCTTTTTTATGGCAGCGTATATTCCATCGTGTAGATGTACCACAGTTTTCTGATCCAGCCATCTGCTGATGGGCACTGGGGCTGTTTCCAGATCTTAGCTATGGTAAATTGTGCTGCTGTGAACATAGGGGGCATACATCCTTTCTGATCAGTGCTTCGGGTTTCTTGGGATATATTCCTGGAGTGGGATCACTGGGTCAAATGGGAGTTCCATTTTTAATTTTGTGAGGAAACTCCATCCTGTTCTCCACAGTGGCTGCACCAGTCTGCATTCCCACCAGCAGTGCACAAGGGTTCCTTTTTCTCTGCATCTCGCCAACATTTGTCGTTTGTATATTTGTAGATGATAGCCATTCTGACAGGTGTGACACCTCATTGCTGTTTTGATTTGCATCTCTCTGGTGAACTTTGAGCATTTTTTCATGTCTCTTGGCATCTGTGTGTCCTCTTTGGAGAAGTTTCTATTTAGATCCTCTGCCCATTTTTCATCGATTATTTGTCTTCCTTTGTTAAGTTGTATGAGTTTCCTATATTTTTTGGAGATTAAACCTTATCGGATGTATAATTGGCATGCAGTGGGCTTTCTTATTAATTTATTGACTAGAGGCCCAGTGTACAAAATTCATATATGGGGGTTCCCCCCACCCCCCTAGCCCAGGCTGCATCCTCTCCAAGAACCCTTTGGGTGTCCAACTGCCAATTTTGGCCCAATCCCTGGGATGGGGCCGAAACAGGCAGTCGGACATCCCTCTCACAATCTGGGACTGCTGGCTCCTAACTGCTCACCTGCCTGCCTGCCTGATTGCCCCTAACTGCCCGCCCCGCCCCCTCTCCCCCCACCCCACTGGCCTGGTCTCCCCCAACTGCACCCCTGTTGGCCTGGTCGCCCCATGCAGCCTGCTGGTCAGTCATTTGGTCATCCCTCGCTAACACCCTCTCCCAGCCTGGTCGCCCTCTGCAGCCTGCTGATCTGTTGTTATTGTGAGGGTGTTGCGAGCAATGTGGTATTACCCTTTTATTGGTATAGGTGGTTTCTTTGGCTGTGCAGACGCTTTTTATTGCGTGTGGTCCCATTTGCTTATTTTCTCCTCAGTTCCCGTTGTCCTAGGAGCTGTACCGTAAGCACACCGCTGCGACATGTCTGAGATTTTGCTGCCTGTGGCTTCTTCTAGGACTTGGATGGTTTCACAGCTTACACTGCAGTCTTTATCCATCTTGAGTTTATTCTTGTGACTGATGTACGTTGGGGTCTAGTTTCGTTTTTTTCATGTGCCTGTCCAACCTCCCAACGCCACTTATTGGAGAGACTGTCTGCTCCAATCATGCTCTCATCTCCTTCGACAAATGTTAGCTGAGCAGAGGGGCTTGGTCCGTTTCTGGAAGCAGCCCCAGTTCAAATGGACTCACCCAGGTCTTTCAATCACACGTGGCCTGGGCAGTGCTAGCAGTGCGACCTGGAAGACACAGGCAACTAGGTCATTGTGTAATCACTGGCGCTCACAGGACGCGTCGGAAACAGACGGAGCCACGCGTCTGCACTCACGTTCTAGGAGACACAGACAGGACATCATCACCGCGGGCAAGCTCGTGTTGTGGGGACTGCACTGTGCCACCCAGGGCTCCGTGCTGACGGCACGGCCCAGGCCTGGGCAGGCTCACAGTTTGTCCGGGAGCCCAGAAGGGCCCTGGCCCCATCCCCGGTCCTCTCGGGGAGAGAAGCTTCGGACAGACAGACAGGAGCAGGGCAGGAGGCCCTCTCCACACCTCTCTTCTTTACACCAAGCCCTGGGGCCTCCAGGCTGCTCTTCCGTGAGGGCAGGAAGGAAGGGTGGGGGACGCAGGTCTGACCTGGGCCTGCGATCCAGGCTGCTCGCCCACCATCCTGCTTCCCCAGCAGCGAGTAACCCTCAGGGCCGGGGCCTCGGAGAGGGGCAGGCGGTACCCGAACCCACCCCAGCGCAGGTCTCCAGCCCCTGCGATTACACAGTATGCGCCTGTGGTTTAGAAGTGTGCCCTTTGACCTCGTCTCCCCCCCCCCCCCCGACATCCCTCAGAGCTGCCTAGCCCCCACCCCGGGAGGTGAGACGCTGACGGGAAAGGAGTGCTGCTGGGACCCCTGGTTCTCCTCACTCGCTGTCCATCCGCTGGGGCTGCGGGGCTGAATTTTGTCCGGTAGCCGGCAGTGCCCAGGATGTTTGGTCTCAACGAAGCTGCTGGACGGCCATGTGCTGGCCACGCCCGGGCACAGGACAGGCGCAGGGACACCTGAGGGTGTGTCCATCAGAGGCAGCAGGGAGCTCCTGTCAGGACCTCAGCCACAGAGAGCCGCTGGGACACGGTGACATTGAGTGGGAAGGGCGGGGCCTGTCCAGGGTCGGGGTGACAGTGTGGGCGGGGCCTGTCGGGGACGGGGTGACAGTGTGGGAAGGGCGGGGTCTGTCCGGGGACGGGGTGACAGTGTGGGAAGGGCGGGGCCTATTCGGGGACGGGTGACAGTGTGGGAAGGGCAGGGCCTGTCCGGGGACGGGTGACAGTGTGGGAAGGGCAGGGCCTGTCCGGGGTCGGGGTGACAGTGTGGGAAGGGCGGGGCCTGTCCGGGGACGGGTGACAGTGTGGGAAGGGCGGGGCCTGTCGGGGACGGGGTGACAGTGTGGGAAGGGCGGGGCCTGTCCGGGGACGGGTGACAGTGTGGGAAGGGCGGGGCCTGTCGGGGACGGGGTGACAGTGTGGGAAGGGCGGGGTCTGTCCGGGGACGGGGTGACAGTGTGGGAAGGGCGGGGCCTATTCGGGGACGGGTGACAGTGTGGGAAGGGCAGGGCCTGTCCGGGGACGGGTGACAGTGTGGGAAGGGCGGGGCCTGTCCGGGGACGGGTGACAGTGTGGGAAGGGCAGGGCCTGTCCGGGGTCGGGGTGACTGTGTGGGAAGGGCCTGTCCGGGGACGGGTGACAGTGTGGGAAGGGCGGGGTCTGTCCGGGGACGGGTGACAGTGTGGGAAGGGCCTGTCTGGGGATGGGATGACAGTGTGGGAAGGGCGGGGCCTGTCCGGGGACGGGGTGACAGTGTGGGAAGGGCGGGGCCTGTCCGGGGACGGGTGACAGTGTGGGAAGGGCGGGGCCTGTCCGGGGACGGGGTGACAGTGTGGGAAGGGCGGGGTCTGTCCGGGGACGGGTGACAGTGTGGGAAGGGCGGGGCCTGTCCGGGGACAGGTGACAGTGTGGGAAGGGTGGGGCCTGTCCGGGGACGGGTGACAGTGTGGGAAGGGTGGGGCCTGTCCGGGGACGGGGTGACAGTGTGGGAAGGGCCTGTCCGGGGACGGGTGACAGTGTGGGAAGGGCGGGGTCTGTCCGGGGACGGGTGACAGTGTGGGAAGGGCCTGTCCGGGGACGGGTGACAGTGTGGGAAGGGCCTGTCCGGGGACGGGGTGACAGTGTGGGAAGGGCGGGACCTGTCCGGGGACGGGTGACAGTGTGGGAAGGGCGGGGCCTGTCCGGGGACGGGTGACAGTGTGGGAAGGGCCTGTCCGGGGACGGGGTGACAGTGTGGGAAGGGCGGGGTCTGTCCGGGGACGGGTGACAGTGTGGGAAGGGCGGGGCCTGTCCGGGGACGGGTGACAGTGTGGGAAGGGTGGGGCCTGTCCGGGGACGGGTGACAGTGTGGGAAGGGTGGGGCCTGTCCGGGGACGGGTGACAGTGTGGGAAGGGTGGGGCCTGTCCGGGGACGGGGTGACAGTGTGGGAAGGGCCTGTCCGGGGACGGGTGACAGTGTGGGAAGGGCGGGGTCTGTCCGGGGACGGGTGACAGTGTGGGAAGGGCGGGGCCTGTCCGGGGACGGGTGACAGTGTGGGAAGGGCCTGTCCGGGGACGGGGTGACAGTGTGGGAAGGGCGGGGCCTGTCCAGGGACGGGGTGACAGTGTGGGAAGGGCGGGGCCTGTCCGGGGACGGGTGACAGTGTGGGAAGGGCCTGGCTGGGGTCGGGTGACAGTCACATGGGAAGGGCTGTGGTCCTGCTCACATTCGCTCCCAGGTGGTGGCTGTCACTCTTGGGACTATGCCCCCTAGGGCTGGCGACCAGGAAGTGCTGGCAGCCAGGGACCAGGCTGATGGCTGACAGGCCGGGCCACCCTGACCTCGGCACTGACCTCCTTGGGAGGAGCCAGACTTAACCCGGTCAGCCTGCGGTGCGGTCACCTCCCGGCCCGGCTGCTGTGTCCGGCTGCCGCCCGCTCACCGCCCGCTGCCGCCTCCGGCTGCTCCCGCGGCCTCCGGTGTCTGGCCCCTGAGCACCCGGCCTTCCCGCCGGTCTGTCCCGGGGCCAGGCCTCCCTTCTCGGCGGTTTGCACCAGGGGCCATCCATTCCGGCCACGCCGCCTCCCGCTGCCCCGCTCGCGCCCTCCACCCGCACGCCCCAGAGCAGCTCGCAGGGCCCCGGGGGCGCCCTGCCCGGGCCGCAGGGGCGGACAGGCGGCCGCTCCCGTCTCACTGTGAGACTCCGCGGCTCCCGCCCGCCGCCTCGGGCACGCGGAGGGCACGGCCGCAGCCACAGCTGGGCACACGGTGGCTGTTCGGATGCCACGTCAGAAAGCAAATGAACTGCACATTCTGACATGGACACGGGCCTGAGGACCTGCACAGACTACACGCCTGGCGGTGCCAGGGGCCCATGTGACTGTGCGTGGGCCCTCTGTGCAGCTCTGTCCTCAGCAGAGGCGTCTCCTCGTTACTGGGAGGTCAGGCCCCTTCGTGTCCGACCTGCCTCCAGCCGCGACCTTTCCCTGCCACCTTCACCGGCGTCACATTTAGGTCGCCAGTGGCGGAGGGTCGGGCCTGCCTTCTGCCGGCCTCCAGCACTCCCGCCCCCCCGGCTGTGGGGGGGGAGCGGGGAGCGGGGACCGGACCATCACAAGGGCGAGCGGAGGTGCGCCCCCTGAGCCGCGTCCCGCCGTCTGAACATGGGTGGCCGCACATGTCGGTGATGACGTGACCGAGCTAGCAGTCCCCTTCCTTCTCCTTTTCCTGGACTATACCCACACAGCCTGCAGAGCCCGGAGTGGGCTTCTGGCGATGAGAGCTCAGCTGTGGGGATGCGGGGAGATCTGTGGGAGCGCCGGGAGCCGGGCCACCCGTTCCCCCATGGCAGCAGGCCCGGCTCCGCCCCGGAGCGCAGGACGCACAGCTCCCGTGCCTGAGCGGGACAGCACCGCACTGGGACGTGTCTCTGCTGAGAGCAGCCACGTGCAGGCAAGTGCTCGGTCCCAGGCGACCCCAGGCTGCTCCTCAGGGACAGGCTGCGCCCGGGAAAGCCACCGTCACCGCCTCTTCTGAGAACCTCTACGCCCGGCTCCAGGGCGGCTCCTGAGCAGGCACCTCGCTCTGTGCCAGCCCGAGTGCGACCCTCAGGGGTGGACTCCCGGCCCCTGGCACAGGCTCCTGGCAAACGCGGCTGGCGGCTGCCATGACCGTCGCCTTGTGCCCGGAGCCAGCCCTCGGGACGGGACAGGATGGGTGCCCTGCGGGGAGGAAGGCTTCCCTGAGCAGCCCTGCAGTGGAGGCCACATCGGTGATGACACACACACTTCCCACACAACACACAAACACACAGCACACACACGTACACACACCACACTCGTACACAGTACACACGAACACACCAAACACACACTACATGCTGCACACAGAGACGCACATTCTTCACAGAACATATGAACACACATGACACGTATGCACACTACACACAGCCCTACACACATGCACATATCACATAGCACACACCTGATACAAACTACACATAAACGCACACCCGTGCACATGTGCGTGCACAGTACATGTGTGTATTGCATGCACATCATATATAAACACACGGCCTATATGCACACATTATACACAGCACACATAAACACACCACACAACACATGTGTCTATGCTCACTCACACATGACACATTACACACACAGCACAACACATATTAAAATACTACACACCATTCATGCCCACATGACACACATGCATATAGCACACATAAATGCACTGCACACATAACATGCACATATGGACATGATATATGTGTGGCACACAACACACATAAATGCACATGCAGACACTGCACTACATGCACACATGTGACATCTGACACCCACACAATGCATGACACATTTACATGCACCAACACACAACATGCCAAGCGTGCCATGCATAATGTGTTGTATATAAACATGTGTTGTGCACATACACATGCGCATCCATACACACTACATATAAACACATCACATGGAGATATGGCATGCACACACAACACACTACACACCATGCAACAAATAACACTATGCCTGTATACATGCTAGACACACCACACATACAACGATACACATGTGCATATAGCACATATACTGTACTACACAAGAGCACGTTGTGTGCACACACCACATGCTATGTAGGCACACGTGACACACGACACATAAACATGCACTGTGTACGTGCACATGGTACACACATGCAGACACCGTACATGGCATATTATACATATACATATGGCCTATACACGTGTGCATACAAAACACACACAACACGTGCACACACTACACACACATTCAGACACATACACCTACCTCCACGCAGACATGTGCACACACAACAGAGGATGCGTCCTGGGAAGAGAAGGCCTGTTGTGCTCAGGGTGTGTGTTCAGAGGAAGGGACGGGCCGTGGGCTTTTGCCCCTGCGCCGCCTCCGCTCTCGGCAGCACGGCCCTCTGCAGGCCCCTCGGGTGCCACTGGCCGCTCGGTGGATTCTGAAGACAGACCATCCGCTGGGCTGCCAGTGTCCGGAGGGAGAGGGGCAGAGAGGGCCAGTGCGCCCGGCAGGCAGGCACAGGGTGAGGAGGCGCCGCAGCAGGACAGAGCGGCTGGAGCCGGCGGCCTCCCCGCAGGGCCGCCTGAGCCGCATGGCGGACCTCTCCAGAAAGGGCGGGAGCTGTCGCTGCTGGACGGCCTCAGGCTTAGCCTGGCTCTGACCCCCGGCTTTGCTGCTCTGCTTCTCCCAACGCGCCCGGCCGGCTGCCCCGCCCCGCCCCGCCCCGCCCTGGGCCCGGCCGTCCACCCGCCTCCCCCCTCCCCGGGCCCCGGCCTGAGCCTCGCAGAATCGGGCCGCTGAGAACAACCCGGGAGCCGTGATCGCTCGTGACATGACACAGAAACAGCTGGACGGGGACACACACCTGCACATACACGCACACGCCTGTGTGCAGCCACACAGATGTTGTTTCCTTTCAAGCACCTCTGTCAGCACGTGAGAAAACAATGTCTGTGAAAGCTGAACGTCAAATGCCAGCTTCGTCCCTGAGGCGCCTGGACGGGGCTGCCGCTGGCCGCACACCACGTTTGGGGTCCCGGTCCCAACGTGAGGGCAGGCGTGCTGCCGGGCACCAGGTGGTCTCAGAACCGCTCTGGTGTGGAACGGGACGAGCTTGGTGGCGGATCGGTGGAGCCAGCCCCCCGCGGACCCCACCCTCCACCCGGGGCGCGCCACAGCCCCGGCCTCCTCCCCCAGCGCCCGCCAGCCGGCCTGAGCACAGGGCGCTTCACCCGCGGGGACCTGCCCTCGAGCTCAGGTTCGGGTTCGAGCCTTCCCCCCGGGCGGGCCAGGCCGGGCTGCACTCACTCGCTCTCCGTCACGATGTAGCCGTAGGCCTCCTCCTCCTCGGGGGCCTTGACCTCCAGCCGCAGGCCGGGGCCAGGGTCCTCCTGCTCCTGCGAGGCCCGGGGGACCCAGCGCGGGGACTGCCCGAGCCCCCGGGCCCTGGGCTCCGGGCGCGGCCTCCCCGGCAGCTCCGAGGAGTAGGTCCGGCTCTTCACGTTCTCCACCCCGGCGGCGGCCTCCTCCGAAGACCAGGCCGCGGGGCCGTCCGCCTGCTCGTCCCCGGGGCTGCGGCTCGCAGGACCGGCCTGGTGGGAAGGAAGCCACGTGAGGGGACAAGCAGGAGGAAGGCAGCCCGCCGGCCCACGGAGAGCGCTGGGAGGTCACCGGGAGGACGCAGGCCGCACCGCCTGTGCTGGAACCACCTCCGGTGAGAAGTCCTCAGCGGGCGGAGGTGCGCATGAGAATCGGCCATGACGTTCCTCTCTCCTCCTCCCTCCCCCCTCTCGTGCACACACACCCGCTAATCCTCAATGTGGGCCATCAGTACGGGCTGTCAGCATCTCTATGATGAAAATAACCCATGGTGCCTGGCTGGTGTTGCTCTGTGGTTAGAGCACATGTGTCAAACACAAGGCCCGCGGGCCAAATCCGTCCTGCCAGGCCTTGCAATGTGGCCTGCACCGCGCTGTCATCACTGCACTCTGCTGCGTTTCCATCACAATGACAGTTTATGACTGTTCAGTAAACCATTCGGCCCGCGATTTAGGCTGGATTTTAGATTTTGGCCCCTTCTCTGATTGAGTTCGACACCCCTAGGTTAGAGTGTTGGCCTGCGCACCCACGGCTTAGGGTTCAATTCCTAGTCTGGAAACATACCAAGGTTTTGGGTTCGATCCTAGAGGAACTCATGAGTTTTTTATTTGCTCAATTTTAGTGATTTTAAGAGCAAGCAGCCACACCGCTCACTCAGTGAAGGTGTGTCCCTGTCAGCGTCCCCATGAAGTGCATCTTGGAGGCCAGCACACGGGACCCTCACATATGATGCAGTGGGATCACGTTACCACACACCCCGCCAGATGTGGAAACCCTAAGGATGTTAACCTTCTTTGTAGTAACCATTTTCATATCTCTACAACCTGCCCATCCTATAGTAAAAGGGTAATATGCAAATAGACCGACCTGCAGAACAGCCAGGTGGGCTTGGGGTAGGCTGGCAAGCCACCCACGGCCCCTCGCCCTGGCTGCCGCCCCCAGCGGCCGCATCAGGACAGGCGAGCTGGACCCCGCCAGGGCATGAATTCATGCCCCAGGCCTCAAATGTTACTATCGATCTGAAAACGGGCATTGGCGTGTATTAAACACACAATTTGCACGCACTGTCTACACTTCTCTCAGTTTGGGGGCCATGAGGTTTTTCATCCTTTCCTGAAAAAACAAACCAAAATGGCCTTTGTATTTCAGGAACATTCTCTGCCACGAACAGAACTGAGACCAGCAGGGTCTGCTCAGCGTGAAGCGAGGAGCGGGGACGTGCATCTTACCTCTCCGTGCCCCTGAGCAGCGCCCTGCCGCGCGCCGGTGCCTGTGAAGACAAGAGCATCGCCAAGTCCGGTCAGGAGCGGCCCGCCGCCGCCCGCGCCGCCCCGGAGCCCGCCTGTGCCGCCCGTGCCGAGGAGCGCCCTGCTTCGGCGTGGCACTGCGCCCGCACCGGAGGAGTGACCCAGCCACACGGCGAGCGTGGTCGCTCGCACAGCCCCGCCCCCTGCGTGTGCCCGTGTGCTCACACGGGGAGCACCGCCCTGCCACAGGCAGTGCTGTGAAAAGGGAACGCGGAGCGTCCGACCCAAACCGCCCCGAGGCCTCTACCGGACACGCAGACGCGGTGTTCCCGGTGGCCGTCCTTCTGTAAACCAGCATCCTGCCTGCAGTGCCCAGCGCACCCTCCTGACACCCCAACCCTCCTAGACCCCGGCCCTCAGAATGGGCGTCAGTCTGAGTGCCGTGCCCGCATGCCTTGTCCCAGGGGAGTTCCAGCATCTTTTCATCTGCCATCGAGCGGTGTGTCCACTGCACACCAGCCTCCGTCCCAACCCCACACACCTCACCCTCCACCCGTGCTTCTGGCACCTTCTTTGTGTGCCTGCTGTGTGCAGGACTGAGCTGCATGCTTCAGTGTGGCTCCAACGATGCTGAGAAGCAACCAGGCAGAGAGAAGGCCAGTTGTCAGGGGAGTCTGAGCCACCCGCAGGTCCAGCTGCTGTGTGTGTGTGTGTGTGTGTGTGTGTGTGTGTGTGTCTGAGTTTGTGTGTGTGTGTGCACATGTGTGGGTCTGTGTGTAAGTCATGTGTGTGGTTGTGAGTGTGTGTGCCGTGTGTGTTGGGAGTACCGGGGCCTCTGCCCTCTCCTGGGAGCAGAGGAAGGGTGAGCTCAGGCAGACATCCTAAGGAACCCCTTTCACTTTCCTGTCCAACGTCTGACTTGGTCACTGACACACAAGCCAAACAAAAGCACTTCCTGGCCACCAGGTGCTTCCGCTCCGCACCGTAGCAGAGGAGCCCGCCCGGCGGGCGCTGCCTCCCAGCACGGCCGCTCTGAGCTAGGCCTGGGCCTTCCCGTCCACCGGTGAGTGCCAGGCCCGGGCCCCACCTCGCGCTCCCACCCCGCCGTGGGCACGGTCCCGGGCACGGCCTCCGAGCTGTCCGCCGGCGCCCGGGGCTCTCCTCCAGCTCCTGCGGGGCCTTCCCACGTGCCCTCCGCGTCCGTGGCGTCGGCAGTCACGCCGGCCACCGCGTCCAGGTCTGGGGTGCTCAGCGTCTCTGCAGAGGCCAGGGGCTCTCCTGGGTCCTCCAGGAAAGTCTGAGTCCGGGCTCCTAGAGGGCACACGCAGCCGACAGTGACGGCGTGGCCAAGCCCCCAGCGCCCTCCCTCCGACATAGGCACAGCTGGTGCACATAGACACGTGCTGTTTGCTGAATCTGAATTCCACGTGACTCTCTGGTTACACAAGGCTCAGAGTCTGTAACAGTGAGAATGGATGCGGGACCCAGGAAGGGCCTACGACCAGACTCATGGCCGAGAGGAGGAAGCAGGGCCTCGGACAGAACGGCCGGAATTACGTGCCGGGGGAGGAGCCTGAGCAGCTTCATGGCCCTGGAAATTCAGCGCCGATGGGACACAAACCAAAGGGCCTCCAAGATTCCCACCGCTTCCAGGCAAAACGCAACCACTCAACTCCGCTCCAGTGGTGACACAGTCTCAACCACACACACGGTGCCCAGGGAGCCATGAGAACCAGAAAAGCCGGACATGCAGTCCAGACAAAAGGAGTCGACATCAGGGGGACAGGGACAGCAGGAAGCTGCTAGGAACATGGCAGGGCAGCAGTACCCAGCAAGCCCAGCGAGAAACAGGCAGCTCTGGGGGTGATAGGGAGCCGCCCGCACAGGCAGGTGCGTGTGGCTAGGCGACAAGAAGGGTCTCTGGAGCCTGAAGGCAGGGGTACTGAGACCAGAGGAACATGAGCTTAGAGACTCCAGGCAACAGGAAGCTGCAACGAGAGCGGTGCACATGGCACTTACAGTCAAAATGCTGACAACAAAGGTGAGGACAATCTTTTTAAAATATATATTTTTTTATTAATTTTTCAGAGAGGAAGGGAGAGGGAGAGAGAGATAGAAACACCCTGATGAGAGAGAATCATGGATCAACTGCCTCCTGCAATCCCTTACTGGGATGGAGCCCACAACCCAGGCATGTGCCCTGACCGGAATCAAACCTGGGTCCTTTCAGTTCGTAGGCTGATGCTCTATCCAACGAGCCAAACCGGCCAGGGCGGTGAGGACAGTCTTAGCGGCAGAGATTATATGCACAGTAAAATGGTTGAGTGGGCGCTGACTTCTTAAGAAAAGTAGAGGTCACAGACATGTCAGTATCTCACAAGAATGACCTATTTGATATAATATATGCAATTTTATATTTGATAACATATATGTTAATTTGGAGAGGCAGACATATGCCAAATGAGTATTTTAAGTGTTCAAAGGAATAATGTTTAACTCAGAGGTCTATACCCAGTGAATATGTCCTTCAAATGTAAAATTGAAAGATACTTTCATATTATAAAAAAAAAGAGCTGCCCAGCCAATGTGGCTCAGTGGTTGAGCACTGGACCTATGAATGAGGAGGCTACAGTTTGATGCCCGGTCAGGCATGTGCCCAGGTTACAGGCTCGGTCCCCAGTGTGGGGTGTGGAGGAGGCAGCTGATCAATGATTCTCTCTCATCATTGATGTTTCTCTCTCTCCCTCTCCTTTCCTCTCTAAAATCAATAATAAAAATATATATATTAAAAAATAGCTAAACTAATCACCACCGTTATCACACCATTATCATCATTACCACGATCACACCATCATCATCACCACCATCATCACTATCATCATCACCATCATGATCATCATCACCACCATCACCACCATCATCATCATCACCACCATCATCACAACCATCATCACCATCATCATCATCACCACTATCACCACCATCATCATCACTACCATCACCATCATCACCATCATCACCATCAACACAATCATCATCACCATATCAACACAATTATCACTACAATCATCATTATCATCTTATCACCACTACCTCTATCACCATCTTCACCACCATCATTACTATCATCATTACCACCATCACCATCATCAACACAGTCATCACCATCATCGTCATTATCATCTTCATCATCACTACCTCTATCACCATCCTCACCATCATCATCATCGTGAGGAATTCACTGTGTTCCTTTTATAGAGCATATAGTTCATTTAGTTTCTGGAGACCAACTCTCAGGTGTTTGCTGACTCAGATATATTCAGATGAGTTCATTATTTTATTCTGTCCTCATTGGGCCTCCACCTGGGAGCCATGCTTAATCATGTGTCAGCTTCTTGTCTGTTTCACTGGGAACAACCCGGGCACAGTAAGATGTGTTCTCCGTGGCCTGACAGCTCAGTGATGTGCTGCTCACTGGCTAAGTGAGGGCTGAGCCCAGGCGCTACCAACTGCGTTCTCACAGAACCTGCACCAGCCCCCTCTCCCTCGTGACACAGACACTGCCCGTGAGTGTTGGCGCTGATTATGTAACTCGGCTGGTGGCAGGCTTCGCACTCAACTGCTTTCTGAAGAATGTTTCCTTGAGATTCACATTAATGTGAGTGCATGCTCAGCATGGTCACCAACAATGACGGGGGTAGCTGGGCAGGTGCTGGTGGCAAATGCCACACTGGAATATAAAACTGTCCAGGTGGGCTACTGTGCGTGGGATTGAAACCTGTCTCCAGTAAGGGAATGGGCTGAACCAGGAGAGCTCTGGGATTGGACTTAGAGAAACAGGTTCGGCACAGTGCCAGCTGCTAGTCTTTCTGTGAGTAGGAAAGTTCTAGATGGCCCATGTGCATAGTTTATATACATCTGCCGCTAGGAACTCAATTTATGATCAAACCAAGTGTATTTTACCACAACATTTAAAAATTTAAATACAAAAGTGGACATGGCACTTTGAGTGGCCGGGGTCACGGGCTGGGCCTGCATGCTGCCCCCTAGTCGGGAGGATGGCACGTGAGGCACTGACGGGACCGGAGAGGGAGGGTGCCCCAGTGGCCCTGCTTCACGCAAGGCCGGCCACACAGAGAGCCCGAGGGACGGACAGCCGCACGGTGGCGCTGGTCTTGGCAATTGTATGTAGTGTTCAGGTTCCACGTGGCAGCCATCTGTTACATAATGACTGGTAATAAGGAACAAATAATCGTTTATAAATCCTATTTCCCATAGTGACTGGGTCACAAAATGACAGACTAACGGTTAGCAGGGAGCACTCCCGGGGGGTGACCCGGGACGCCAGGTCTGGAGCTGGGGAGCTGGACCCCACAATGTCTGTGCAGCACGGCCACGCCGCACTCACTGTGACCTTTGTCCCTCCCCTGCCTGCCTCTCCAGGTCTTTGAGTTTTTCGTTGCTTTAAAGCCGGGTGGGAACCTCTTCCTGCCCAGCCACTGGATATTTACAGCATCGTTCTCAGCTACAGAATTGTTATCAGAAACGAGCCTGCTCCCTTCGGTCAAACACTTAATTAACTCACCAATGCGTGGCGGGCCAGACCATGATCTCTTGGGCCTCACTGGGCTGAGGCCGAGGTTCCCACCCCTGCCCGAGGCCCTGAAGGGACAGGTGTCTCTTCCCCCGTGGACACTGGCACACCCAGTGAGCCAGACCTGGCGCGTCGTCACACGGGAAGCCGTGGGCGGGTTTCCCTGAGCTCCACCTGGGCTGCGGGAGGCCAGGGTCATGGCCACATGGCCGTTTCCACAGGCTCCGCCCCCTGCTCCCAGGAGCCCTCTGGAGCCTCACCGCGCAGAGAGGCAGGTCACACCACCCGCCCCTCTGGCTTCCGGGCCCCCTCAGGTGACGTGAGGGACATAGTTTCCTGGAGAGACTGCGTGCCCGTGCCTTCATGGGAATGCTGCCCTGGGCGTGGCTGTGGGCTCTCGGGGGAGGGGCGGGGGCTGTAAGGCCTGGACCCAAACTCAGGAGAGGTTGGTCTTTCCGTGTCTGTTTCCATTAAACACCGAAGGCCACCGTCTATCCCTCCCTGGCTCACACCCAGGACGGGAGAGGGAGTCAGCACCAACTCCGGGACCTCGGTGAGCTCCTCGGTGCCTCTGCGCCCCCTGCAGGCTCAGCACAGCACTGCGCACAGTGCAGCCAGAGAAAGCTGGAATTTGAAGCTAAATGGGCACTGAAAACAGTAACTGACCAATTAGCCAGAGTAACAAGTATATTGCGTTCGCATCTGCCTTTTGGGCAGCTGGCTCTTAAGAACCCCCACGGGGCCTCACGGGATCCCACGCTGGGCCAGCCACCATCCACCCTCAGCGGCGCCTCCTCGGGGAAAGCGAGGCTGGGAAGAACCCCATCGTTTGAGGTTGGCATGAAAAGCAGAAGCGCCTTCTGAGTGGGAGGAGCCTGGCACCTGCCGGGCCTGGGATGCCAGTGGTGGGAGAGGCACGCGGCCGCTCCCAGGCGGACGGCCATCACTGCGGGACGTCCTGGGAGGCAGATCAGTGCAGTGGGGGGCAGCCAGGAGGAGGCTGCTCGGTGGAGTGCCGTCTGCTGGCGGGGGGGAAATGGGCGCAGCTGGCACCGCCTCCTGCTGAACAGAAGGGCTGGTCCGCCGCCGGCCAGGGATAGGGCTGTGCTGTCCTTGGCAGGCAGCGGTGCGATCAGAGGGGAGAGCTCTAGGGAGCGAGCGAGCCAGTCTCCACAGCCAATCAATGACATGGAAACTACAGGAGAGAGAGCAGAGGCAGGAGAAACCTGCAGATCAAGAGGGGCCGCCCCGGCCGATGGCTCAGTGGTTAGCGCATCAGCCATACACCAAGGGTGAGGGTTCGATCCCTGCTCAGGGCACACGCTGTACAAGCCACCCAATGATGGGTCAGTAACGGGGACGACACCTAGACACTCCCTCCGTCTCTCTCCCTCTCCTTCTCCCTCTCCCTCGCCCTCCCCTCTCCCTCCCTAACCCTCTCCTTCTCTCTCCCTCTCCCTCTCCCAAATTAACAATAACAATTTAAGACAATAAAAATAAAAGATGTAGCCACCAACTCAGTGGACCCTCTTTGTATCTTGGCTCAAAAGAACAGCTATAAAGGGAGTTATGGCAACAGAGAAATCGGGCCTGTGCTCTTCAACGCTGTGCAAACGGCCACCATGTCCTCGGAGGGACGGCTGGCCAGCGGCGGCCAGTCCGCACTGCTGGGCAGGGCAGTGCTGCAGCCACAAGTGAAGCCGCTTGGAGACGGGAGGGGAGACAGAGGGGGGCAGGGGGGAGGCAGGGGGAGGCAGGGGGGCAGAGGAGAGGCAGAGGGGAGGCTGGGGAGCAGGGGGGAGGCAGAGGGGGAGGCAGAGGGGGAGGTAGAGGGGGGCAGGGAGGAGGCAGGGGAAGGCAGGGGGCAGAGGAGAGGCAGAGGGGAGGCTGGGGAGTAGGGGGGAGGCAGAGGGGGAGGCAGAGGGGGCAGGGGGGAGGCAGGAGGCAGAGGGGGAGGCAGAGGGGGGCAGAGGGAGGCAGGGGGGCAGGGGGGAGGCAGGGGGGCAGGGGGAAGGCAGGGGGCAGGGGGGAGGCAGAGGGGGAGGCAGAGGGGGGCAGGGGAAGGCAGGGGGGCAGGGGGGAGGCAGAGGGGGAGGCAGGGGGAGGCAGAGGGGGGTAGGGGGGAGGCAAGGGGAGGCGGGGGGCAGAGGGGAGGCAGAGGGGGGCAGGGGGAGGCAGGCGGCAGAGGGGGAGGCAGGGGGAGGCAGAGGGGAGGCAGAGGGGAGGCCGGGGGGAGGCAGGGGAGGCAGAGGGAGGCTGAGGGGAGGCAGAGAGGGGCAGAGGTGAGGCAGGGGGCAGGGGGGAGGCTGGGGGGGCAGGGGGGGGCCAAGGGAGGCAGAGGGGAGGCAGGAGGGAGGCAGGGGGAGGCAGAGGGGAGGCCGGGGGGAGGCCGGGGCTGGGCGGGCGGGCGCGTCGCCCACTGTGACACGTGGACATCTGTGTGACTCCTCGAAGCACAGGGGCAGCTAGGAAGATGCTTCATGTGAAACTATAACCAACTTGGCAACCAGCGCAGCTCAGAGGGCAGGACTGGAGGCTTCTCCGGAGAGCTGTGCAGAGGGGGGTGGTGAGCGTGGGGAGGGTTCTGGGCGGCACCTCAGGCAGAGGCGGGATCCCTGGCCGGGCACCAGGCGCTCGGCAGAGGGAGTGCCGTTGGCATTGACCTCCCCTAGTGGGCGGACTGAGGCCGCCACTGTGAGCTTTTCAGGTTGTGGGAGAGGGCGGTGGGGGCGGGGGGGGGGGGTGCTAAAGACAGGATGCCAGCGTCATTGCATGTACAGAAGCCGAGGTAAGGGACAGGGAGTCAGACCATGGACAGAGGCTAACAGGAGGGTGTTCATGGCAGGTGCTGAGCTGGAAAGGCGAATAAATACTCTGAGTTTAAGGGGGGAGGGGAGAGGGGGGAGGAAGCAACAGGCAGAGGAAGGCCGGGCGCAGAGAAGGCAGCAGCCAGCAGAGAACTCGGGTCCCAAAGGGGAAATGCTGGTGGGAACGGGCTCTGCGGGCCGGCCCCATGGAAATGCCGGCCGCACGGAGGAGTGTCTGTACGGCGTCCGCCAGGGCACAGCACACGGCCGCCCGCCTCTCCCGCAGCCCGGCGTCTCTCCTGTAGACCGAGGGCCTGGCCCTGTTACATGTTTGTCCAAATGGAGCAGCTAACTGCCAGGCGATAATCTGTGTGACCCACGAATGCGGCTATAACTATCCAAAGGCTGTGCAGTCTGAAAAGGTGCCACAGCAGCACGTGGGCGCAGACCATCGACCCCCGGCGTCCTCACCGCCCCTGCCCTCTGGCCTCTGGCTTGGAGCCCCAGAGGGGAAGGCCTGTCTCACGGAGGAGCAGGCAGGGCCCCACGGGCGGTCACACAGGACGTGACTCAGGGAAGGCCGCAGTGCCACATCGCACTGAGCGGCACTCTCACCCTGGGCCTTGGGGACAGATACGCACAAACATGTGGCCTGGGCGCAGTGACCACGCTGGTGATGGGCGTGTGATGGGGCAAACGCAGAGCGGCCTTCCGGCAGCCTGTGCAGCCCACACCTCGGGCGGGCGGGCCTGGGACCCGCCTCCTCCTTTCAGTGACGTCATGAGACCTGACACGCAGAGAGGGGGGTGGCAGGGACAGCAGCTCCCTCCCCTCCGGGCCAGCCGCTGGGTGCACCGGCGCGGGCCTGGCCACCTCCCACGCACCCCAAGGCCCTCCTCACAGTGCCTGGCGCCCGCCCGCCCGCCCGCCCGCACGGGAGAGGTGCTGGGAAGCGGTGCTGACAGTGAGCGCCCCAGGGGGTGAGCTGACTCACCATCGCCGGTGCCCAGGGGCGCGGTGGCATCTTCTGGAGGCGAAAGCCGTTTTCCGTGTCCCCCCCACGGCACACGCAGGGCGTCAGGCGCGAGGGGGCCCGCCTCGGGGGGCCAGGGCGGGGCCATGGCCAAGTAGGCGACCAGCTGCCTGAGCAGATCCCGCTGCTGCACCCCGCCGCCCCCCTCGGGGCTGAGCTCGCCCGGCGGGAGCCGGCTGAGGGCCTGCAGAGGGCGGCCCGGGGGGTGCCCGGTCCGGGGGGCAGGGGCGAAGGTCAGAGCGGACGTCTGGGGCATGTAGGTCAGCACGCTGTCGGCCGGGGGGCCCTCACCCTGCAGGGGAGGAAACAGCAGCGGTTAGTCTCAGGCTGGGCGGGGCTCTCCAGGGTACCCAGCACCCGCCCCAGGCGCCTAGAGCACGTCATCAGGACCAAACTCTCCACGTGGGTCCTGCCGCTGGCCAGGGGTGACAGCTTTCTTGGGGTGATTCACACACCAGGAATGCACCCAACCCAGCTGCTCTGAGTGGAGCCAGAGCTGGGCACATGCCACGCACCATTCCACCGTGACCCGGTCGGAGAACATCTTAGCCCTCCGAACGAAAACCTGCACCCCGACTCCTCCCGCGCCCAGCCCTGGCCATCACCTTATTTATTTATTTTTTTTGATAGAATTTACAGAAGTTTATTGGTGGTTGTCATGAGCACTCTGGCTGTGAGTATAGTCTCTCCTATAAGTCACTCGATATCCTGACCCCCAGATAATATCAGGGGTCGCCTTCTCCTTCCTCTCCTTCCCTCCCCGAGGCTCCGCGGCTCCAGGCACTGCGCAGACAGGACCCACCACAGCCAGACCCACCACGGATGGACCACTGCGTTCGGGACCCACTACGGACTGGACCCACCAACCCACCATGGATGGACCCACTGCCGCCGGGACCCACCACAGCCGGACCCACCAACCCACCACGGACGGACCCACCAACCCACCACGGACGGACCTACCACGGACGGACCCACCAACCCACCACGGACGAACCCACTACGGACTGGACCCACCAACCCACCATGGATGGACCCACTGCCACCGGGACCCACCACAGCCGGACCCACCAACCCACCACGGACGACCCACCAACCCACCACGGACGGACCCACCACGGACGGACCCACCAACCCACCACGGACGGACCCACCTCGGACGGACCCACCACGGACGGACCCACCACGGACGGACCCACCAACCCACCACGGACGGACCCACCATGGACAGACCCACACGACGGACCCACCTCGGACGGACCCACCACGGACGGACCCACCACGGACGGACCCACCACGGACGGACCCACCTCGGACGGACCCACCAACCCACCACGGACGGACCCACCAACCCACCACGGACGGACCCACCACGGACGAACCCACCAACCCACCACGGACAGACCCACCACGGACGGACCCACCTCGGACAGACCCACCAACCCACCTCGGACGGACCCACCACGGACGGACCCACCTCGGACAGACCCACCAACCCACCACGGACGGACCCACCAACCCACCACGGACGAACCCACCAACCCACCACGGACGAACCCACCAACCCACCACGGACAGACCCACCACGGACGGACCCACCTCGGACAGACCCACCAACCCACCTCGGACGGACCCACCAACCCACCACGGACAGACCCACCACGGACGGACCCACCTCGGACAGACCCACCAACCCACCTCGGACGGACCCACCACGGACGGACCCACCACGGACGGACCCACCACGGACGGACCCACCACGGACGGACCCACCAACCCACCACGGACGGACCCACCACGGACGAACCCACCAACCCACCACGGACAGACCCACCACGGACGGACCCACCTCGGACAGACCCACCAACCCACCACGGACGGACCCACCAACCCACCACGGACGGACCCACCACGGACGGACCCACCAACCCACCACGGACGGACCCACCACGGACGAACCCACCAACCCACCACGGACAGACCCACCACGGACGGACCCACCAACCCACCACGGACGGACCCACCAACCCACCACGGACGGACCCACCAACCCACCACGGACGGACCCACCACGGACGGACCCACCAACCCACCACGGACAGACCCACCACGGACGGACCCACCAACCCACCACGGACGGACCCACCAACCACCACGGACGGACCCACCAACCCACCATGGATGGACCCACTGCCGCCGGGACCCACATAAAAAACGGACGGCCCACCCCCGGACGGTACCCCACCAACCCACTCGGACGGACCCACCAACCCACCACGGACGGACCCACCACGGACGGACCCACCAACCCACCACGGACGGACCCACCATGGCCGGGACCCAGCACGGGGGCCTGTGGGTCTGGCTTCTCTCACGCAGCGTTGTTCTCGGGGTGCGTCCAGCTGCGTGTCGGCCGCAATCTCTTGCAGCTGAACACCACCACCATCATCACCATCACCACCCACCATTGACATCACCATCATCATCACCATCACCATCACCACCATCACCATCCACCATCGACATCACCACCACCATCATCATCACCATCACCATCACCACCACTATCACCACCACCATCATCATCACCACCCACCATCGACATCACCATCACCATCATCACCATCAAGACCATCACCACCACCATCATCATCACCATCACCATCACCATCATCACCATCACCATCACCACCACCATCATCATCACCATCACCATCACCATCACCACCATCACCATCACTATCACCACCACCATCATCACCACCATCACCACCACCAACATCATCACCACCATTAGCATCACTATCTTCACCATCATCATCACCACCATCAGCAGCATCACGAACACTACTGTTGCTGTGTGACGAGTTCTGAACTATGTTCGATGAGGAAAGAACACTCAAACATAAACCTGTCTTTAAACAGCTTGCAGACTGACATGCCAGTTAAGTCACAGACATTAGTGGTCTAACTGGAAGGGTATTACTGAAGAGGTCCCTGGGAAGGAAGTGGTTAATCCAGCTGGGGCATCAGGGTGGCTCTCTAGACTACAACCTGCATTGCACCCCCACCTCCCAATCAGCAGGACACTCAGTGAGGTGGACCCCCTGCTCCCGGATTCCCCTGGGCCGGGCCTCCCTCCTGAAGGCCAGGCCTCCTCCTCTCCTGCATGTCACCGCCCGGCCCAAGTTGCACAATTATGGACAGAAAGTGCCAGGAAGCCTGGAGGCCAGCAGCCAGTGCCAGCAAACAGGAGTGGCTGAGACGTTTGTCTGTGCACTGGTCCCTCACGCTCATCAGACTCTCTCTGGTGTCGTCCAAAACAAATTAGGAGCCCAGACTGGGCCATCTTTTGACCACACAGCAAACCTTCCCTCCAATTTGCCTCATAGCCTGGAGGCAGTGCTGACAAGCACTCTGATCAAGTGGTGCCTGTGGCTGGCATGACAGAGCACGCAGTGGGCTGTCCACAGGCGTCCTAATGAGCTGGCCCCGGCATGGCCCGGGCAGCAGTGAGCGCGGGAGCTGTGGAGAACTGGAAGGCCCTGCCACCGGCTCATTACTGAGCGCCAGGTACTTCACCAGCGTCCTGTTCTGGGCCATGGGGCCTCTCTAGCACCTCTCTCTCTCTCTCTCTCTCTCTCTCTCTCTCTCTCTCTCTCTCTCTCTGTCTCTCTCTCTTTCTCTCTCCGTCCCTCTCTCCTCTCTCCCTGTGTGTCTCTGTCTCTGCCCTATCTCTGTCTCTCTCTGACTTTCTCCCTCTCCACCCACTTCCCTCTCCCTTTCAACACAGTGACAGGGTTGTCAGTGCTTAATGGTGCTGAGGCTCTGGGTGCCCGCCCACTGCAGGGGTGAGGACTGGTGGTGTCCCTCTCGCTGACAGCGCCATCATCAGGACAAAAGGAATGCCCGCTTCCGAGCCTCACGCTGGTCCCGCTCTGCAGCAGAGACACGGAGCTCTCCCAGGGCGAAGGTCAGTCCCCAGACAGCTCGGAGTCCCCGAGGCCGCGGCGGGAAGGGCTGAGTTCTAGGCCACAGGACCGATGAAATTTGAGAAATGTGACCTTCAGGTGTGCTGGGAATTAGGCCGTGGCCTTCTGCACGGGACACTGCAGCACGCAGCCTGGGATTGCTCTGAGGAGATGCCACGAGGGGAACCGCTGCTTCTCCCCGCCCCCCGACCCCGCACCACCTCCCCCACACACACCACCTCCCTGTCACCACACTCGCCCTGATTTGCTGGACCCAGCCAGAGAGCAGAGGGAATGTCGGAGCAGGGAGCTGGTCCCTGCCTGCACCTGGGCTGGCGAGGTCCCAGCAAGGCCAGGCTCCCGCTGCCGGGCCAGGGGGGGTCGCATCCTCACGGACCCTGAAGCCACCTGCGGGGCGGACACACGCTCTGGTTCGGGGTGCGGAGGCAGGAGGCCCGCAGGCAGGCGGCAGGGCGGGCGCGGCTGGCGTGTGCTCCGGGCTGGGCACGGCTGTCTGCCTGGCACCCCGCACACCATACTCACTGAGCGTGGAGGCGGGACGTGGCCATCTTGCTCTGGGCTTCAAAATAAACAGGAGCCAGCCGGACCGCAGTCTCCGGCTAGGATGTCAGCACAGCCCAGCGGAGGTTCTCCCCACCCCCAGTGTCTTGTTCTGAGAGATGCGATCACTGGCCTGAGGGCCCTCAGGAGCTGGTTCTGACCCCACAGCCCGTGTCCGGCACTCCGCCGGCTCCCGGGGCATCCCGCCTCGGTCCGCAGCCTGTTCGTCTCCATCATTCCCGGGGCCTTTCCCATCTTCGCCACGAGTCACACCTGGCTTTCCTCTCTCGAAGGAGACCCATCTTCTTTCTTCTCCCTCCCCTTCCCCAAAGTCTCACCGGACGCGACATTTTATGTAAAAGAGCAACAGAGAGCCAAGTGGATACCGTCTACTCGAAAGCGCACAGCCTTGCTCTGCCGGCCTGCTGGCGTGGGCGCTGGCATGGGCGCTGGCGTGGGCCGGTGTGGGCACCGGAGTGGGCGCTGGCGTGGGCACTGAGGCCTGCGATCTGTGGCGCGCTGGCGCTGACTCTGGCCGAGCCCCCCGGCTGCAGCTGGCTGGGGCAGGATCAGGGCCGTTTCTGCGCGGGCTGGGCTCTGGGCTCTGTGCTCGGAGGGCCGGCTGTGCAGGCTGCGGGGTCTGGCCGGAGGGCTATCTGGCACAGAATGTGGCCAACCTGTCTCCCGTCCTGTGGCCTCCACGGCAGCTTTGTCCCCGTGCGGCTGGTCCCGGGCTCCGGGCTGGGCCTCTGGGAGCACCGGCAGCTCCCAGAAGTGTCTCCTACGGCTCCCCACCCCGAAGCGCCCAGAGCAGGTTCCCGCTGGCAGAGCGCCTCCCAGGCCAGCGCAGTGCCCAGACCCACACCTCCATGGCGCCCGGGAGGCGGTTCCAGACGGGGACCGCAGGGCCTCCCGGGGAAAGGCCTGGGCGCTGGGCAGGAATCCCCTGGCCACCCAATCCCGGCCAAATTCAGTTCCCGTGTCCTTCCTGCAGGGGGCGTCCACTGCCCCTTCCCCGCAGTAGACCCGACATCCGCTGCCCCGGTGTCCGGCTGCGTGATGGATGGGGGCTTCTAGGGCTGTGGCCTGTCTCACAGGTGACCCATCCCTCAGGCTCAAAGGGTGCTGGACGTGGGGACCCGCCCTTGCATGCACCCCGCCCCTCATACATCGCCCACCGCCTGGATGGACACACAGGAAACCAGGAGGCACGGCAGGAGGTGCTCCTTGCGAACACGCGGCCCAAACTGCCTGGGCGGTGGGCACACGTGTCAGGCCACGTACCGTGTACATACACTCAAACCTACTGACGCCATTAACAACCTCACCCAATACATGTTTAAATCTGGCAGAGAAAGAATCCCCCTCCCTGCCCCCAGGTGTCACCAGCCCAGACCCCGGCCGAGAGGTCACCTGGGCCACCCGCCCGCCCCGCTGCGTCCTGGGGAGCAGGTCCCGGGCCGCGGCCGGCGGCAGAGCCTCCCGGGAGCCCAGCGAGTACTCCAGGGCCGTAGCCAGCACGCGGTCCCCCTGCACGCCGGGCCTCCTCTCATCCTCGGCTCTCAGCCTCCAGCTCCTGGAAAGCAAAGAAAGAGCCCTGAGCTTCCACCGCCAGGCCGCCCATCACCCAGGCCCCGCTGGGAACCACATGGGGACAGAGGCCGCAGCACCCTCCCTGCAACCCCTCCCCTCCCTGGATCCCCTCCCTGGATCCCCTCCCTGTATCCCCTCCCTGTATCTTCTCCCTGTAACCCCTCCCCTCCCTGTATCCCCTCCCTGTATCCCTCCCTGTATCCCCTCCCTATATCCCCTCCCTGTATCCCCTCCCTGTATCCCCTCCCCTCCCTGTATCCCCTCCCTGTAACCCCTCCCTGTATCCCCTCCCTGTATCCCCTCCCTGTATCCCCTCCCTGTATCCCCTCCCCTCCCTGTATCCCCTCCCTGTATCCCCTCCCTGTATCCCCTCCCTGTATCCCCTCCCTGTATCCCCTCCCTGTATCCCTCCCTGTATCCCCTCCCTGTATCCCCTCCCTGTATCCCCTCCCTGTATCCCCTCCCTGTATCCCCTCCCTGTATCCCCTCCCTGTATCCCCTCCCTGTATCCCCTCCCTGTATCCCCTCCCTGTATCCCCTCCCCTCCCTGTATCCCTCCCTGTATCCCCTCCCTGTATCCCCCCCCCTGTATCCTACTGTATCCACTCCCTGTAAATCCCCTCCCTGTAGCCCCTCCCCATCCCTTATCCCTCCTGTAACCCCCTCCCGGTATCCCCTCCCTTATCCCCCCCCTCCCTGTATCCCCTCCCTATAACCCCTCCCTGTATCCCCTCCCTGTATCCCCTCCCTGTAACCCCTCCCTGTATCCCCTCCCTGTATCCCCTCCCTGTAACCCCTCCCTGTATCCCCTCCCTGTATCCCTCCCTGTATCCCTCCCTGTATCCCCTCCCTGTATCCCCTCCCTGTATCCCCCTCCCTGTATCCCCTCCCTGTATTCCCTCCCTGTAACCTCCCTCCCTGTATCCCCTCCTTGTATCCCCTCCTTGTATCCCCCTCCCCTCCTGTATCCCCTCCCCTGTATCCCCCCCCTGTATCCCTCCCTGTATCCCCTCCCTGTCTCCCCTCCCTGTATCCCCTCCCTCCCTGTATCCCCTCCCTGTATCCCCTCTCTGTATCCCCTCCCTGTATCCCCTCCCCTCCCTGTATCCCTCCCTGTATCCCTCCCTATCCCCTCCCTGTATCCCCTCCCTGTATCCCCTCCCCTCCCTGTATCCCCTCCCTGTAACCCCTCCCTGTATCCCCTCCCTGTATCCCCTCCCTGTATCCCCTCCCTGTATCCCCTCCCTGTATCCCCTCCCTGTATCCCCTCCCTGTATCCCCTCCCTGTATCCCCTCCCTGTATCCCCTCCCTGTATCCCCTCCCTGTATCCCCTCCCTGTAACCCCCCCTGTATCCCCTCCCTGTATCTTCTCCCTGTATCCCCTCCCTGTATCCCCTCCCTGTATCCCCTCCCTGTATCCCCTCCCTGTATCTTCTCCCTGTATCCCCTCCCCTCCCTGTATCCCCTCCCTGTATCCCCTCCCTGTATCCCCTCCCTGTATCCCCTCCCTGTATCCCCTCCCTGTATCCCCTCCCTGTATCCCCTCCCTGTATCCCCTCCCTGTATCCCCTCCCTGTATCCCCTCCCTGTATCCCCTCTCTGTATCCCCTCCCTGTATCCCTCCCTGTATCCCTCCCTGTATCCCCTCCCTGTATCTTCTCCCTGTAACCCCTCCCCTCCCTGTATCCACTCCCTGTATCCACTCCCCTTCCTGTATCCCCTCCCTGTATCCCCTCCCTGTATCCCCTCCCCTCCCTGTATCCCCTCCCTGTATCCCCTCCCTGTATCCCCTCCCTGTATCTTCTCCCTGTATCCCCTCCCCTCCCTGTATCCCCTCCCTGTAACCCCTCCCTGTATCCCCTCCCTGTATCCCCTCCCTGTATCCCCTCCCTGTATCCCCTCCCTGTATCCCCTCCCTGTATCCCATCCCCCTCCCTGGCTCAGCTCCAGCTGAGGGCGGACCTCCACAATCAGCTGATGGAGAGCAGAGGGCGCAGTGAGTCTGCACTCGGTCTGGTTGCTGTGTTTGGAGAGTGAGAAGGCTGGTCTGGTGACCTGCTCTTTGCCAAATAATCTAGGGGATCACTGGTTTCTGAGCAGGAGAACCCCTGACTTCTCCGCTGCCCACCAGGGCCTTCAGGAGTGCACTTCCCCACAGGCTGGCCTCGCGTGGAAAGTCCCTGGAGTGGGTTACCGCACAGCCTCCTCCCATGGGCTGGGACACAGTGACAGGGAGCACCGTCCCCTCACAGACGCCCCACTTTCAGGACCTGCACCAGGGAGACACGGGGCTCGGTGCTGCCTTAGAGAAACAGGCCTCACAGGCCGGGCAGTGGCCTCAGGTCAGAGCCGGCAGCCCCCTGGACTCACCTGGTCTGGGCGGCAGCCTCAGGACGCCACAGCTGGGCCCGGGGGACGTGGGCCAGCGCCTGGGCCAGCACGCGCTGCGTGTCGCCATCCTGCCACGCGAAGCCTGTGGGGAGGGAGAGACGTGTGAATGTGGACGTGGAGCCAGAGCCCTTGTTCGGGGTCACAAGGCCCTGTCCCCACAGAAGCAGCTCCTGTCCTGTCCCCCCACCTCCTGTCCTGTCCCCGCGCCTCCCTGTCCTGTCCTGTCCCCGCGCCTCCCTGTCCTGTCCCCGTGCCTCCCTGTCCTGTCCCCACGCCTCCCTGTCCCGTCCTGTCCCTGCGCCTCCCTGTCCTGTCCCCGCGCCTCCCTGTCCCGTCCTGTCCCCGCGCCTCCCTGTCCTGTCCTGTCCCCGCGCCTCCCTGTCCTGTCCTGTCCCCGCGCCTCCCTGTCCCGTCCTGTCCCCATGCCTCCCTGTCCTGTCCTGTCCCCATGCCTCCCTGTCCTGTCCTGTCCCCATGCCTCCCTGTCCCGTCCTGTCCCCGCGCCTCCCTGTCCTGTCCTGTCCCCACGCCTCCTGTCCCGTCCCTGAGCTGAGGGGGAGCAGGCGCTTTGAGTTCGGTGGGAGGAGGGCTGCGAGGCAAACCTGTCATTGAATGCACAGCCTCCCTGCGCCCTGGCCTTTAGGCACTTCACGACAGACGGACGGATGGACGGACGTCTCCTTGCTCTTCGACCTCATTCCACTCTCTCTCCCGCTGGACCTCCTCAGGATCTGACCACCCAGAGCTGAGAGTGCTTCCACACCTCTGGCTCCCCACCCCTGGGGCCCTGAGCCATTGGGGCCCCGCCCATCTGGAGCCACATGACCTAACACATCACCTCTGTGATCCTCCCTCAGCGACCCCAGCACTTTCCTGCTCAGGGCGGCGCAGTCAGGGCCCAGCGGCTTGTCCTCCAGCCCCCCCTCGGAGCCCATGCTCGGACAAAATGAGGGCACTGCGGCCGGGACAGCAATCACCTGTGCTCAGTGGTCTGCCCCCGGGAGCCGTTACATTACATCTGTGCTCAGATGTTATGACAAAGCCTTGTTTAGGCGAAGTCCATGTGATTATGTGTTAATTACACGCACTGCAGATCGCATGATAATTACGCCCAAAATTACCAAATAATGCCCGGAATAATTATTATGCAATTTGTACATTTCAGATTTACGGTAACATATTAGCACTTACAACTACCCCATGCAATTATCCATAATTACCTAATCATTAAATATCATGTGATTACAGAGGTATTTTTATGCCCTGTGCAAAAACCCATTGCCACCTTCAGATCCAGACAGCTTTATGCTGTGTGTGCGCATGTGTGTGGTGTGTGTGTGCGTGTGTGTGATGTAAGGCCCAGTCTTGTTGAGATCACACATTCTGGGCTGGCTGAAAGCATGCTCAGGGAACAGACTCTTTCACCGACACTCTTTAATACTCGTTTTTAAAAACGAATAGCTGGCAACATTAAAACAGCGCCCAGCCCAGCCTGAGGTCTGACCACACTAGCAGGGGCCGCCTGGCACTTCACGATGGATGGACGGACAGATGGACGGACGGCTCCTTGTGCTTAGACCACATTCCACTCTCTCTCCCTCTGGACCTCCTCGGGATCTGGACCCACCCAGAGTGCTTGGCCAGAAAAAGCTGCTGACAGTCCTTCCACACCGCTGGCTCCCCACCCTGCCCCGAGGGCTCCGTCAGGGCGCAGCAGTGAGAGAAGAGGCACCTCCCAGGCCACTGTCCCGGGAGCAGGACTAACATTCTCATCATCGCAAGCCTGTCCCATTGGCTACAGCAGCGAAAACCACGGGTGCGAGCCCTTGTGGCTGTGATTGGTCCCGGCCCAGCCCAGGCTCATTCGAGTAACACTGAGCAGTTACAACGCCGCTCCCGTGGCTTGAATGTTAACATCCACCAGGAAACAAGAGAACAATTGAGACGCAAATGGAACTCCCGGGAAAAAATTCATTTAAACACAGAATGTCACTAACATGCCCTCCTAAGGAGCAGGGAGTCCAGCGGTGCTGGCTCCGGCCTGCGAGGCGGCTCCGTCCTGCTGGGCTGCGGCCGGCGAGAGGGCTCTGTGGGCACGTGGAGCCGGCTTCTCAGTTCTCCAGGGAGCAGCAGGAGCCGGCCTCGCTGCTACAAACCAGAACGCATCGCCCCAGGGGCTCAGACGCCCCACCCACCCCTCTCCAGGGCACAGGGGAGCAGATGCCACCCTGGGAGGGTAGGGGCCACTCGTAGGAATTTGGACAAAACGCACTTTTCCTCCGTCCCCGCGACGTGCAGCCGAAGACCCTGGACGCCTTCACACTGAGGCTGTGAGGTGGCGAGACGGCCGGGACTCGGGATGCGGCCCAAGGCAGGAGATGGCAGGGCTGTTGGACTCTGCCGGACCCCCAGGAACCAGGCGCAGGGCCAACTGCAGTACTTCTCTCCCCAGCCAGAGGGCAGGAGGAGACTGAGCACATTTTACAGACAGCTCCACTCCGCCCACACCGCAGAGTGCCGCCCACGTGGCCAGGGGCCTCTGGTGCCCTGCCCACAGGCGGGAAAGAGGTCCCCCCCTCCCCCCGCCGGGCCTGCCAGGTGGGAACGGCCGCCATCACGGTCAGTGGGTCCACGGAGGAGCTGAAACTCAGCAGGAAGGACGAGAGCCGCTCTCGGGTGTCAGCTGCCAGCTGTCGTAGCAGCAGAGCCCACCCGCCCAGCAGAGCAGTGCCAGGAGAGGCCAGTTACACCCGGTTCCCTGAGACCCAGGGTCTTGTGATGTCATATAGAAGTGCCCAGGTTTCAACTGAAAATCACTGTCATCCAGCGAGCCAGAGAGATCTCAAACTGGATGGGAAAGGGCCCCCAGGGACGGAGCTGACGGAGACCGAGCAGGGCCCAAAAGGGAGGGCGAAGCAAACCCTTCCATCCGTGTGCAGGCCCCAGCACTCTGCGGCCTCGGACAGGAAGCCCAGCAAGGAAACAGAAGACACGAGCCAAAGGCACGTGTCAGGGGCATGAGCAGCTCAGCGGCGCCTGTGACGGGAGGGCGTGGGGCGGACTGTGCTGCAGGACGAAGACACGGAAACCGCGTGTTCCAGCAGAGAGAGAACACGGTCCGGGAGGCTGTGGGCTGCAGCCGCAGGCCTGGCTCCTGTGTCCGCGTCCCGATGGAGAGCAGGGGCGCTCACAGGACAGAGACAGAAACAAATGGGCGGCGAACTCTGACCATCTCGGCAAGAGACATAAACCAGAGACTGCAGGGGCTGACATGCCGAACAGGAGAAACCCCAACCACCTCTCTACAAACTGAACACAAAGCAAAGCCGTCACCCAGAGGAACACAGCACCTTCCTGCTCCGGAGGCTCCGAGGACACAGGGGTCCCCGCCAGAAGCTCAGGCCGCTCCCAGTGTGAGCGGAAAGAGCTGCCTGCCAGAATCCCGAGAACCTGCCGATCCAGGGCCCGGTGAGAGTGTCTTTAGGAATGACAGCAAATCCAGACGCCCCAGATAAATGGCCGAGATGAGAGCTTGTTTTCAAGCAGACCTGCCCTGAGGGAATCACTGAGCAAAGGCCTGAGCGCAAGGAAAGGGAGAGCAGCCTGGAGTGTCAAGAAGGGAGACTCCGGGAGACAACGGAAATACAATCAGCTCTGTTCTTCTTGAGTTTCCTACACTTTGCTTGACAGTGGAAGCCTATGAGGTAATATTGTCTGACGTGCTTCCAGAAATATGCTGAGGAAATAATTAAAATCATTGTAATAAATAGTGGGGAGGTGTCCTCGACGGAGGTACATGTCCTATATGCCACTCAAACTGCTAAAATGGTGAGCTCATGGATCAATAGTATAATATCTAGACCACATGTGTCAAACACAAGGCCCGCGGGCCAAATCCGTCCCGCCAGGCCTTGCAATGTGGCCCGCACCGCGCTGTCATCACTGCACTCCGCTGCGTTTCCATCACAATGACAGTTTATGACTGTTCAGTAAACCATTCGGCCCGCGATTTAGGCTGGATTTTAGATTTTGGCCCCTTCTCTGATTGAGTTCGACACCCCTAATCTAGACCAAGCACTAAAAATGCTAGTAAGAGAGTCACTCAGAAATACTCTGCAGAGCCCTAGCTGGTTTGGCTCAGTGAATAGAGCATCAGCCTGTGGACTCAAGGGTCCCAGGTTTGAGTCTGGTCAGGGCAGGAGGCAGCCAGCCAATGATGTTTCTATCTCTCTCTCCCTTTCCATTCCTCTATGAAATCAATAAATATATACATAAGCCAAAATGGAATGTCTGTGTGATCTAAAGGAATGCAGGAGGGTTGGGGAAAAAGAGAATAGAAGAAATACAAAACAAAAACTAACATATGGGAGAGAAACCAAGATGATGGCATAAGTAAACACCTAAACTTGCTGCCTCACACAACCACTTCAAAACTACAACTAAAAGAGAAAATGGGTATCATCTAGAATCACGAGAAGGCTGGCTGAGTGAAATTCTACAACTAGAAGGAAAGAGAAAAGCACACTGAGACTCGGAGGAGGGGCAGGAGTGAAGTGCAGAGGTACGGAGGTGTGAGCGCACACAGAAAAGGCTGGCAATTGAGTACATGGTTGTCTTTTTCAATCAGAAGGGAGAGACAAGATCCCGACTGCTCTGAACTCCAGTTCTGGGCGAGACTCTGGGGACCCAGACTGATAGAGGAAGAAGCTGGACTGTCTGTCTGGCATTGGGCGGAACTTGAGGGAGATTTCTCTCAGAGGTGCTTGCAGCGATCATGGTTCCTGCATGGTGCCAGGGACACAGACACAGGACCTCTTCCAGTCGAGGCTAATGATCAGCCATTGCTGCTTGCTCCACCCTGGTGATTCCCTGAGACCCCGCCCCACCCAATTTACAAGCCCACCCATGCTGTGTGCAGGGCTTTTGCATATGAATGATCTGGCCCTTTGCAATCTGAAAGCTAACATACTGCAGCTGGGTCAGAGCCCCAGAGCCTCCAAAGAGGACCCAAAGCCCCACAGCAGCTGGCATTGCCTCACAGCTGGGCCTCATCTGGGCACCTCCAAACCCCAACAAAGAGGA